GGAGGCTGCGGTGACTCATTGCCAGAGGCTCTATACTCCCTGGGCGAACAGGAAGCCCGAGTCCTGCCCGCCCACCTGCTCGCTCACAGCCTGCCAGGGGTTGGCAGCAGCACCCGCTCCCCTCACAGAGCCTGCCCCGGGGTGGAAACAGGGAGGGCGTGAGGGGTGCCGGTCTGTGCTGAGCCCCCACAGTGCACCTGCCCTGTGCTGGTGGTTGGGTCTCCCTGCCCCCCAGCCTCTTCCTCGGTGCAGAGACAGGCCAAGCGGCACTTCCACCTTACCCAGACCTGAGACGCCGCCATGGCAAAGGCCACCACGCTGGTCCCTCAGGGGCCCGGGCGGAACCTCTGCTGCCATGTCCGGGCATACCAGCCCTTCCATCCACAGCCCAGGACCCCATCCCAGCGTCCCCTCCCCTCCACCTAAGGGCTCTCTTGCCCAGAGCTGGCAGGCAGCTCTTGCTGGACTCAGCCCTCTCAGACCTGGGCCCCCATGGCCTCCAGACCCCCACCGGCGCTCCGTTCCGAATTCAGATAAGCACATCCTCCCTCCTCACACGGCCCCTGTGAGTCACTGCGGTACACATGAAGGGGGTCCCACCAGGCCAGGCAGACGACCCCCCTGTCTCCACTCCAGGAGGGGGAAGGCACAGGCACTAGGGATGAGGAGGAAGATAATGAGAGATGGGGTGGGTTCTAATGGCAGGTAGAGGCATCAGATCCTACCCGAAGCACCCGGAAGGGTCCTCCAAGCGGCCGATCCCCTCCTCCAGGTCAGCTTGGGTTTTCCACAGAGCCAGGGGCCGGGGTCCCCACGTGTGTGTCCTTATGGATAGGAGAGGGCTTGGGTGACCTCAGGACCCCTGACAGCATCCTGACTTCCCTCATTGCTGCCCACCCATTCCAGCATCGGGGGTCATGAGAGAGGCCAGGCCAGACTCACCCAACCCTGCCATGGAGGCCGAAGCAGGCACCTTTGGGCAAAGAAGGTTTGAGGAAGAGAAACCCTTCAGGCTGGGCTCCCTGAGCTGCCTTTGAGAGGAGAGGCCCCCAGGCTGCTGCTGAGACCAAGGAGCTACCATTCCTGGGTGGAGGAAGTGGGGGTTCCCCAGGCTCCCAGGCCTCTAGGGCACCCTCTCCTACATCCAGTCGAGGCAATTTCTCAGGAAGGCCTGAGTCCATGTGAGGAATGGGTTCAGCTGTGCAGAGGGCGGCTGGTGAGTTGGCAGGTGACTCAGGCAGGAGCCCCCAACTCATTTGCCCCTGCATCCCCAGAAGGCTGCCTACTCCTGTACTGTGCCCAGCCAACCTCACCAGCCCCCGCAGCCTCCACGGCAAGCCGGGCAGAGCTGCTGGGAACTGGGCTGGAGACCAGCCGACCAGCAGACCCCCACCTTCCGGATCTCGTGCTGCCCAAGGCCACCATCTCTACCAGGCCCAGGTTTCCTCTCAGGGATGAGAAGTGGGAAACCACTCTCAGAAGGAAGCTAAGTCCCCTCCTTGTCCCGTGCTATAGACACCAACACCACAGGGCCAGGTCCCCTCCCTCCCGTCCTATAGACCGAACACCACAGGGCCAGGTCCCCCTCCCTCCTGTCGTATAGACTGAACACCACAGGGCCAGGTCCCCTCCCTCCTGTCCTATAGACACCAACACCACAGGGCCAGGTCTCCCTCCCTCCTGTCGTATAGACTGAACACCACAGAGCCAGGTCCCCTCCCTCCTGTCGTATAGACTGAACACCACAGGGCCAGGTCCCCTCCCTCCCGTCCTATAGACCGAACACCACAGGGCCAGGTCCCCTCCC